GGTATCTAAGCAGATGTATTTTGTGTTTGTTTGTTTAGTTTTCACGGTGTAAACTGATTATGAATCAATTAAATGGAAAACAACTCCACCCGTCGAGGCTCTCCGTTTCTTCTTTGGTCTGAGGGACTGCTACAATCCCCATAATAAGAGGCACACCAAATAACTCCTACAAAAGTACAGGCTAACAAAAGAAGCCCAACGACCCGCATTCCAAAGGGTGAAACTGTTCGTCTGTTCCAATTCGCATGCTTTCTAAACAAAAACAAGGCTTTGTTTCGTTCCACTCTATAAAGCTTTGAACTCAACACTATTCTAACGGATGGGAAGCTAACCGTCTTCAAACTTGGAAACAAAGTCCAACGGATTTTTGTTTTTTCTTTTTTTTTTTAAATGACTATGATATGGATGACAGAGAATCTTTACCAGCATATTCTTTCCCACAGCCTTTGCTAACAAATAGATGCATATATTTAAACATCCATGGTCTTTAAATAAAAGGAATAGTGAATAAAATTATTTCAGGTTTGAGATCTGAGTAAATCTTTTCCATTGTCATTACTTACCTACTTTTATCGATAATCATTCTGCATAAAATTGATATTTACAAGCACTAATATCTACAGAAATTAATTATTTAACAAGTCTTTATTAAAATAGTTATTCATGATTTCACTGAAGACTGCTAGATGATTTGATGAGACTCATCATTTTATCTTTATCTCATAAAACACAAAATCTAGTTCTGAAAAGATTCTGAATTCTATATTTATCATCTTTAATGTTAGTATATTGATGTGTATAATTAACCACAAAAAACTTTAACGTTTTGAATATTCTACTTCAGAGTATTTCTGCTGCCACCATCTGTGTTAGAGGGAAAAATGGTAGGGGTGACCAATGATTGGCTAAGGGCCCTGGCCCCCCATCTATCTCTGCGCCTGGGTGGGTAACTCACTCTCTGCGGGTCTTTTCCACTTCCTGTTTAGACGGCAGATTACGGCCATCAAACACCAGAATGGGTTTGACTGAGAAGTTTAACATCATGTCCACAAACTTCATGCAGTACCAGACGTACCTGGAAGGACAAAGATAGAAAAGTGAGGAAGATTTCTTCTCCGTTTTGACATGAAAATGTCGGAGCTCCTTACTGGTCGGTTGGTTCCCCTTTAGCCAGCTTCTCGGCGCAGGAAAAGGCTCCTTTATGCAGCCAGCAGTAGGTGTCCACAGCCACAGTCTGCCCTTTATATTTCCTGATGCTCACCGGCTCTGCTGCATCTTTGATGAACTGCAGCAGTCCTGAGATCCCCATGGTCAGATCCAGCAGCCTGGAGAGGAGAGACCGGAAGTCAT